CTAAATTTAATAAAGAATTGCCATCAGACTGGAGCGCTAATTGTTTAAGGTACTTCCATCTATATTTCGAATAATATTTAAATATTAGTATCGTTAGTTTCCAAGGCAAAGGTGACTCAAGCAAAAAATCAGCACTACACCTAATATTTTCGCAAATTGTTATAATACAAAGGCTTTCTAATGTAAGTTGTTTGACCATAATCTGTAACAAAAATATATTAAAAAATAATTACGGCACTTTATAATGTCCCCACGGAAGCGTTTCATATGAATTCGGCAAAAGATAACGTTTATCGTCTAAAGGACTCAAGGCAACTTTTGTTTGTTCGATGCTAAATACATTGTGAGTGTATGAACGAATGGTTCGTTGAGTGGCGTACTTTTCCCTAAAATTTGTTAAGCATTCTACGTAGTCATCAAATGAAATTTTATTTTTTACAATATTGTACTGAATACCCTTTGACTTTTTAACTACCGAACCCGTTAAAATTTTGAAAGTATACATTTTCGACCTTAACCCCGCATAATGACTAATGATGGTGCCATTAGTCTCATCCTTCATCAACCCCAAAACCTTTTTGTTGATTTGCGGTATATTATAGGGATTGTCATTAGGATAATCAGACGTGTCAAATTTTGTTAAATCGGCCTTAATAACGCTTTCATATGCGTCATAACATTTGATATTATAAATGAAACTGTCCGTATCCATGTATTGAATTTTACATTTTTCGGGACCCAAATTTGGAAGCATGTAATTATAATGAAACTCGTACATGGTCGTTTTCGACAAATCCAATATGGACATTCCAATATAAAGTGGCTTATTAAAGCAAAGTTCCGATTTTTTTAATTCTATAAGCAACAAATTGTTATCAAGTATGGTTCTACTGTGAAATCTAGGACTAGAAATTAAATTTTTCGCACCGTAGCGACCATCCCACGCTTTAACAAATTTAACAATACGATGCTTGCGAATGTTTTCCATTGTTTTACCGTAAGCGGCATTATTAAACAATTTGTATAAATTTATACCAAATTTTGTCTTTGCTTGGGTTCTTAATTTATTATTATGATCGATATAACATTTCAACCAACGAGATTGGTTAAATTTTAATATTTTGTGAATTTTCTTTAGTACGAGACCGTTTTTGAGAGCCTGTTTTAAATTGCGATAGTGTATGACGTATTTTTCTTTATTATACAAAGTAGTCATTAGTTTTGGTAACTTTGAATTGGGGGGCACTCGATGTTCGGCACAAAATGGAAAATCTCTATGTGTGTCATGTAATTTCTGCGGGTATTCCAGGTCTACCTCTAGGATATATCCTTGGGAAGATTCATCTGGAATGTTCATGACATTAAATGAATCAATCTCTTGATGAGACATCCAGTCGAATCCTCCGTAAGGAAGAGGCTCGCACATGGCCTTGCCATAGAGGTTATTGACGTCAAAGTACATGATATAGGAATCATCCCTGGATGAATCGTAGTTGGGCATATATTTATTGTTGGCCTCCGCATATCTACCAACACACACCGAAATTCCACCTCGTATAGCCCGCTCGATAAACATAATTTGGTCAATGTCGCGCAAAAGTTCTAAACGACATTTTGTGAATCTAAGCATGCAATCCCATGTATACCCGGGCATACTGAAATACCACGCCGGATCCAAAACGTGTGTTGCCATACAAGTTTTTCGAAAATTTTCGAATATATCTGCCAGAAGAATAACGTCGGTTTTTAAATACAAATCTGAATACTCGCCTAAATTTTTTATTTCAAACGACTGCCAAACACTTTGTGCGTGGGAATATTTTTCTTCACTAATATTGCTTTCACTTAATTTATTATAGAATTCTTCAATCGGGGGTAAAGTTGTTTCATTTAATTTGTCTATATGGTCGATGTAATCGTAACAAAAAATACCTTTTTGCGACAGTAAATTTAATTTTGATTCGTCGAGATCGGAAAATTCTTTTCTTAAAATATATAGTTCATTTTTATCCATACTGGAAACTAAATTATCCAGAGATGCTCCCAAAAATCTAAACGAATCTATAAATCTAAATTTTATGTTATAATCAGGTTCGAAATATGTAAAAGAGATGTATTTTTCCTTATTAACCGGAACTATGGATACATAGCTTTTTTTTGCTAAAACCGGAAGCAGGAAGTGGCTATCGTATCCAGAAAGGTTCTGGAATACTACGGGCACTACAAATATTTTTTTAAAATTTAAATTACAAGCCTGATGGGCAAAACCTCTAAATTTACCAGTAAAATGATCATGGTCACGAACAATAACATCTTCTTTTAAAAAAGGTTTTTCACAAATATGACAATGACTCGACCTTTGATCTAGACTAATTTCACTATCCATTGGTATAATATCCTTAAATTTTGAACGAACAAATTTTGATAAATTAGATATTTCCTCCACGAACCAATCAATACAATCTAGACCACGATAACTTTTGAAAAATGATATTGAATCATCATAAGAACATTTAAAGTAATATGCAGCACTGTAAGCTTCGTGCTTTTGGTATTTCGAGGTTTTATCTGAAATTTTCAAATTTACTTTTCTCAATTGACTCTCAAAATCGGCGTAAATTACAAACGGAGTCCTTTGTTTATATATATGGTTTCGAAATTCAACGTAATCATATTTGGGAAAAGACACTTTATACTCATTGAAACTGGAACATATTGTTTCATGGTCATGTAGACGAGTTTCGTTATTGAAATAATTCAAACACCTATCGCAAATGTATTTCTTGTGATTATATTTACTGAGCTGTGAGGAAACTAATCGAGACAAATTTTTAATGTAACAATAGTGATATTTTATTTCTTCATAATCATTATCTTGCGGATCAGGATCAAAATCATTAACTTTTGGATAATATTTATTTTGTATTAACAACAAATTTGAATGTTTTTCGCGTTTTTCTTTTGTTAATCGTGCAGGTAACACGGAATAAAAACTAGTTTTTTCATTTTTATTAAGCTCTAAGATATAAACATTGATGGAAATATCATTGTCTTTTTCAAATTTGCTTATTTTATTCATTTCCATAGGTGTTTGTAAATTTTCAGTTTTCAAAACACTTTTGTAGTATGGATATGAAGAGGGTAAATACTGACGAAAACGTGCTGGAAAGAGTCCGCATACAACTGACCAATAAAAACACGCTTGATCGTCATTTCTAATGTTAATACAAGCCCTTTTATTCGCAATTTCTTTAGGCAACTCAACGAAGGATGACCCGTTACCCATTTCAAATTTATTAATGTTAATCTCTAAATAAATAATATTATTTAAAGCCCACCCGGAATCACGTTCCTGAAACTCTGACATTTGATTTAAAATTTTATCTTGCACATTTTCAACAAACCAATCATTCAATTCTGTTCCTAAATCAACTACAGCATTTCCGGTACTCAGATATTTAACATCAACTTCGCCTTGGACATCATTTTTTGCCTTAATAAATTCACCGCAAAATGTGGTATTTACTTTCAGCAATAAAAATTTCTTTAAAATTTGACTAATTTTTTGTTGAAATATTGGACGAGAATCGTTTAAAAATTGAATTAAATCTTTATGAAGTAAATTAATTATGACACCAGTCTGAACTCTTCCCTGGAAACACGACGCTACCGATTCCCATACAACCATTTCATTTGTGTTTGTCTCGCGGCTACTACTTTGTAATCCCAATCCAAAATGCTTATGTTGATAATTAAGAATAATTTTTTCTAATAGCTTTCAGATGTTGAATTGTAGTTTGTAATTTTCTTTTTAACCCAATAGATAAATCCTTTTCGTTAGAAACGATTTGGTTGCAAGATTCAATATTTTTATTTAGTCTCCTAAGCCACACATCACTATCTCTAAGAGTGAACTTGTCGGAAATATGCTTTTTTAATTTTTGTAAGGTTAAAATTAAGATTTGCGCTCTATGAATGATCTGCTTTACGCGCATCGTGGTTTATTAAATATATAACAGTAAATAAGACTTACCCTGTATAATATGTTGATTAATTTTGAATTATTTTGAATTTCTTTAAAGAGTTGGGCTTTCCAATATCTTTGGATCCCTCGTAGACCAGTTTGTACTGCCCCGACGCAAAGTGTTCTAGTCTCGGACGGAAAGCTTCTGTCACGCGAGTAGGAAGAAATACTACGGAATTTTCTAATTGCAGCAACACGGAATTGCCAAATTTTGTATTAACAATTTGGCTCTAGTAATTTTAAACGGAACGCCTATCGGCAATTCATGCAGTTTGACAATCGGCTGCTCAAAATCACCTTCTGCAAGACAGGTTTGATTCAGTTGACTTAAGTCCATCTATAAATTATTATTAATTATTTTATCTCAAAATTAAAAAAATAAAAAAAAACTTACGCTTAAGATTGCTGCTATTCTATTTGCGGTTACGGGTTGAGAGTACTAAGATGATCTTTAGGACCTTTATAAAATAATAACAAATGTTAAAGAATTAAAATAAGACAATAAAAAAGGTACTTACTGCTTTTTTGTACGAACACCAAACCACTAAGTTAGCTTCCACGTTGCACGAATAATACCAAAAACAACTACTGACAAAACAGAGAAAAATGAGATGTATTTATACGGTGCGAGAATACTTTCTAAAAGTTAACAAACGAAGACACCTCCACATGCGTTGCAACAAATTTTTCCCATTACGTTAATCCCACGGAGCAAATATAAAGGGGGCAATTAATTATTATTCTCAACAAGCAAAACAACTTGACATTTAGACTCGGCGCGTTTTGAAATTCCACATCCCATACGGAGATTGTAAAAAATGAAAGCAAGTTGGCCTTGATCTTTTGCGGCAACATACGTTCGTCCAACGTCCGAAACGGTTGCGTTCCCGTGTGAAAGCGTGTTGACCTTGAGACTCCTACCTGCACGGTTGTCTGGCGACAACATCGCGTCTATTCAAATCGGCGTTGGTGCTTGTGGGTAGAAGACCTTTCGACTTTTAATTCAACCATGGAAGGGAGTGCATGTGTATAAATACGTTGCATGTGTATTATAGACTATATTCAGTGCAATGAATACAGAAGTGCGATGTCCATTTCCCTACGACCCTACAACTGGTAAGTTTTATATTTTAATTACCTTTATACAGTGCGCGTCTTTTCTTGTGGGTTTCAGTTTGGGTTATCACTTTTTTGGTTAGTTTCTACCTGTTTTTAAAATATGATACTCATCTTTTTTACGTTGCATAATAACCGATTTAAATTGAGTGTTTTTAATAGCTTTTAAATGACAGTGAATGGAAAAGGGAATTTTGGCTTTTAAAAAATAAACAATTTTTAAATTTGTTTCAAAAATGTTTTATTTTTTGTACTAAAAAATTGCAGTTTGCCTTTTTGACAATAATAATCGAATTAAATTGAGCGTTTTTAATATCTTTTAAATGACAGTGAATAGGGAATTTTGGCTTTTAAAAAATAAACAATTTTTAAAATTACTGAAAGTTTTGTTTCAAAAATGTGCGTTTTATGGGGAAAACGCGAAATATATACATATTTTTGTTTATTTTTTGTACTAAAAAATTGCAGTTTGCCCTTTTGACAATAATACACTTACATTTAAATGACAGTGAATTGAAACGTGAATTTTAGTATGCGCGTATAACTTAAAAAACAATTTTTAAAATTATTTGATAACCCCCCTTTTTGGAAGTTTTGTTTAAAAAAAAAAAATGTGTGTTTTATAGGAAACGCTACATATCATACTTTGTTTTGTTCTAGAAAAAATCGCGGTTTGTCCGTATAACAAGTCGCATATTATGTTGGCGCATCGCTTAGGGCGTCACATATTCAAATCACACAAAGAGTACCGGGGGTTAGAATTCCCGGTACGACATGAAACGACAAGGGAACATCACCAGCAGCAGGAGCAACCCGGTGGATCAAAAGAAACAAAGGAGCAGCAGGAGTACCCGGGTGGGTGGTCGACGGAGTGGGACGGCGAGGAGTGCACTTCGTATTTAGATTTCCTCCGGGAACGGGAAGAAGAACAACGCAAGGAACAGGAACAATGGGATGGTCGACTGAATCGACATAAAAAGAAGAAGAAACTCCTCGCCAGACCAATTTTATAAATAAAATAAAATGTATTAAAATTCAAGTTTATTTAATTATCCTCCC